AGCATCTGACTTCCACCAGCCATCAGCTCCAACACTCACCTTCACCTTGGTGGCCACAGTGTCAACCTGAGTGGAGAACCACGAGTTCTCACCCTGGTAGTTGGGAGTGAGATCCAGAATGATGCGGATGCCTAGAACAATGGAGGAAGAGGCAGTCATGAGACAGTCTAGGGGTTAAGGAGAAATAAGGAAATCACAAATGCAACTCACTGAGTGTTTCCTATGTATTATTTGGTACAAAAGCTTGAATTTGAACCCTGGCAAAATTCATCCTATTGAAATAGATGTGAGCAAGGAAGGGCCTTAAGTTATTGGAAGGCAGGCAGGTGTGGTGGCTCATGCCTGTAATCCCAGCACTTTGGGAGGCCGAGGCAGGCGGATCACCTGAGGTCAGGAGTTCAAAACCAGCCTGGCAAACATGCTGAAAAACATCTCTAAAAATAAAAAAATTGCGGGGTGTAGTGGCTCACAAGTTCAGGAGTTTGAGACCAGCCTGGCCAACATGGTGAAGCCCCGTGTCTACTCAAAATAAAAAAGTAGCCGGTGAGGTGGTGGGCACCTGTAATCTCAGCTACACAGGAGGCTGAGGCAGAATTGCTTGAACTGGGGTGGTGGAGGTTGCAGTGAACCAAGATCTCGCACCACTGCACTCCACCCTGGGCGACAGAGCAAGATTCCATCTCAGGGGGGGAAAAATTATCCAGAATTATCCAGATGTGGTGGCACACGCCTACAGTTACAGCTACTCAGCAGCTGAGGCAAAAGAATCACTTGAACCCCAGGGGAGGAGGTTGCGGTAAGCTGAAATCATGCCACTGCACTCCAGCCTGGGTGACAGAACGAGACTCCATTATTTAAAAAAAAAGACATCGGAAAGCAGAAAGTTTATAGTGCAGAGAGTGGACCCTGTGTTCTCCACTCCCAAAGTGAACCTTTTTAAACGTGTCTATACTGAGTTGTAAAACAACATTTGGGATTCCCCACCCCCAAAAGAACATATTGTTTTGCAAGTCTAAAACGACTGATTTAGTAAATATCTGCATTTTGCAAATAAGGGCATTGAAGCCCAGAAATTAAATGACCTGTTCAAGATTCCACAGCCAAGTCGGAAGCCCCCAAACGACTGCAAATAAATCCATTTTAGGCTGAAGACAGCCCAATCTCCCCTCTACCTGCCCTAGGAAAACTCGAGCCAGTTCGGAGGAAACCAGACAAAACTTCTATCCTACTTCCCTCTGGCCAAATCCCTTCTACCTGATTCCTTGGGAACCCCGGGATACCCACTCTTTTTTTTGGCAGATTGCAAGAGACTGGCAAAATCTTCCTTGGAGCCAAAATTAGGGTCGATCTGCAGCAAGTCGGTCCCAGCAACATCATCCTTCTGGTTCTTGTGAATTGGGCCCAGCACAAGGCCCTTCACCTTCAGAGAGCTCAGGTAATCGAGATGCCCCTTCAGACCTGAAATGGGGGGCTGGGTTAAGAGGTGAGGCTCCTCTGAGGGGCCTCTGACCTCCCCACTCTCCCTTCCCCCAGAGCCTAAGGTTGGGACTGGGAGCGGGGACGGGGGAAAGGGGGAGGTGAGATTGAATCACGAGACTCGGGAGCTGATGTAAGGAGCCCTGCAAGTTACTTCAGAAACCGGTTGCAACTGGCTCCAGGCGCCGCTGGGAGTGAGGACGCTGAGTCACCCACCCTCGTGACAAAGTGAGGGGCGGGGCGGTTTTCTTCAAAGAAAGGAGGGAAGGACAATGTACCGGGAGGGGGTGTGGGGAGAACAGTCCTGGGTACCGGATGGAGGGGAGAACCGGCTAGATCACTCTGGGGACAGGGGAGGGGGTCTGCTGGCCACAGATTCAACCAGGGACAGGGACGCGCTGCACTCACCCGCCAGGTTGCCCGCGCCGTTGCCCTGGAAGCCCTGAAGGTCGCCGATGCGGTAGAGGGCGCCCGTGTGCCACCACTTCTGCACGGGTAGATCGCGACAGCGCGGCGCCCGCACGATTATGACCACGGCACCAGCCAGCATGCCGAGCCAGCCGAGCCAGAAGAGCAGCAGCAGCACCCAGCGGGTGCGCACCCAGCCAGGGCTGCCCGCCACCTTCAGCAGCTCCTCTTTAGAAAGGCCCGTGAACTTGGCCGCGGCTGCCGCCTCCGCCTCATCTTCCGCCACCTTGATCTTCACCAGACCATTCTTCTCGGCGCCCGCCACGGCCATGGCCGCCCCAGACGCCGCGTTCATCGGCTGCTTCTCGGGTTCTAGCTCATTCAGCTCCACCTCCTTCATATCCACCTCGGTGTCCTGACTCATGGTGCCTGCAGAACGGGCGACACGACTCAGACTGCGGTCAGATGGTGGCTCAACCCCTACCCGGAACCCCGGACACAGAACGATCTCCCTGGCCCGGGTGACTACGCGCAGCTTCCGCTAGTACATCTGCTCGGCAGCGGGTGCGGCCTCAGGGTAGGGGCAGGGGAGCCGAGCCCCGCCCCGCCCCGCCCCGCCCCTTAAGGTGGAACCTCGGCGACTGCCCCAGCCGTTGCGGGCGACTAAGGATAGTAAAGTCAGGAACACGCCTTCGACAGTACTTTCTGCGTCGTCCTATTTCTCATCTCCAATCTAACCCTAAGGTTCTTTTCAACCTGAGGCTGGGACCGCTCGGCGCGGAGCCACCTTTAAGTGGACGAGGCCTGTGATCCAGCCCCAAATCCCGAGGTCCCTCCTGCGTCCCTTAGGCTTAACCGCCCCCAAAGGCCCCCATTCCGGCAGGCTAGTGACTACCCCAACACTATCCTCTACTTGCCCGTGGTTCAGGGCTCTGGCCACCGCCTGGTATTCCCAACTTTGCATGGCTGCTATCACTCTCAGAGGCAGCCAGACACAGCTTCGGTCTTTTCCCCAAGGCTTGCCCTCTCGGGCCTCGGCGTAGACCTCTGCTTCCGTGCAGGGCTTACTCCCACTCGTTTTGCAAGACTCTTCTTGAGTTTAATTTCAAGTACTTAACTCATGCAGCAACTATTTATTGTGCACTCACTCCAATACTTTGCTTTGTTAACTTTATTGAATTAACGCTAATCCAGTCTTCTTCACAGTACTTTAAAATCAATGTTTGGGCAGGAGAGTTGAGGTAGACGCCCCCCTTCTAATCCTACCCCACCCCCAGCTGGATGTTTAGCAGCTAGGAATCAGACATCCAGAAGAGACTGACAAGCCTGTAATGAACATAACAGAGCTGGGAATCAGAGGCATCCACCGTTTTCCTAGAATAGACCAGAAGATGCCACGGCCAGACTCTTACCCACCTTACAGGGCACAGATTACCCCAAATTCCCCCAAGGTCCTGTCTCCCTATCACTTCACTGTATTAGGTCTTGGAGGCATCTGGTACTGCAGACGCTTTGAAGACCTCTAGAATTCCCTTCACAGGGTCCTTGGATTGAAGTGGGGCAGAGACAGATTCACAGCAGGAAACTACCGGACATCAACACCATGGAGTGCCAACACTCTCAAGAACTCCTTGTTCCTCAACAGTGCCAGTTGGGATATTTTCAGAGAGGAGCTGGAGGAAATTGGTTCATTCTCCCTTTCCCACCAAGACTGGAAGCCAAGATTGCTGTGTACTTAGAAGAAAGCAAAAGCCAATATCTTAAGTAATAACAGAGAAAACAGTGTAGAAAGGCTCATCCTCGGCCGGGCGCGGTGGCTCACGCCTATAATCCCAGCACTTTGGGAAGCCAAGGCGGGTGGATCACGAGGTCGAGATCGAGACCATCCTGGTCAATGAGGTGAAACCCCGTCCCTACTAAAAATACAAAAATCAGCTGGGCATGGTGGTGTGCACCTGTAGTCCCAGCTACTCGGGAGGCTGAGGCAGGAGAATTCTTGAACCCAGAAGGCGGAGGTTGCAGTGAGCTGAGATCGTGCCATTGCACTCCAGTCTGGGTAACAACAGCGAAACTCCGTCTCAAAAAAAAAAAGATAGAAAGGCTCATCATCCTCTGCTAGTCCCTTCTGCAGCCTAAGGCATCCATCCCCATCCCCACCCTAGGAACAAGGGGTGCACGGGGCAGCCCCTGTGAGAAGCAGAGCAAGTGGGTAGATTGGGGTTCAGACCAGTGCTTAAAGATAAGAGGTCCAAGGTGCCCTGCATGTGCCAGATAAAAAGTGCCAACCAGAGGTTCTGAACAGACTTTATCTCTAGCACAAAAGCTCAAGGCTGGGTGCAGTGACTCACACCTGTCACCTAGCCCTTTGGGAGGCCAAGGAGGGAGGATTGCTTGAGGTCAAGAGTTTAAGGCCAACCTGGGCAACATAGTAAGACCCCATTTCAAGATAAAGACATAAATTTTAAAATTATCTGGGCCTTGCTGGGCACAGTGGCTCATGCCTGTAATATCAGCTATGGCATGAGAAATGGAGGCTATGGCATGAGAAATCACTTGAACCCAGGAGGCAGAGGTTGCAGTGAGCCGAGATTGGGCCACTGCACTCATCTGGGTGACAGAACAAGACTCGTCTCAAAAAAACTAACAGGCCAGGTGTGGTGGCTGACATCTGTAATCCTAGCACTTTGGGAGACTGAGGCCAGCGGATCACTTGAGGTCAGGAGTTCGAGACCAGCCTGGTCAACATAGTGAAACCTCATCTCTACTAAAAATACAAAAATTAAGCAGGCGTGGTGGTGCACACCTGTAGTCACAGACTTGGAGGAGTGAGGCACAAGAATCTCTTGAACCTGAGAGGCAGAGGTTGCAGTGAGCCAAGATAGCGCAGGTGCACTCCAGCCTGGATGACAGAGTGAGACTGTCTCAAAAAAAAAAAATTATCTGGGACTCCTAATGTGTCCCTGTAAGTCCCATCAGGTGCCAACACTTAAGGGAAGCAAAAGCAAGAGGATCACGTGAGTCCAGGAGGTTGTGAGGTGGCAGTGAGCGATGGTGGCACCAATGCATCCCAGCCTAGGAGACAGAGCAAGACACTGTCTCTAAAAATAAATAAGAAAAGCTTTGCACAATGGCAGTATCGTAGCCAATGAGGTTTATCCGAGGCGCGATTATTGCTAATTGAAAACTTTTCCCAATACCCCGCGGTGATGACTTGCAATAGTGAGCACTGGTAATTTTTGACAGTCTCTATGGAGACTGATTTTAAAAGATAATAAATAAATAAATAAATAAATAAAAAGGTTGAAAACTGTGAGGTCAGAAGCCTTCTTTGAGATGGTCCAACATAACTCCCTAGAAACATAGTATCTCACTCACAGACCCTCATGGCTCTAAACGGCTTAAGTCAATTCCTTTTGTGTGCCTGTGTGGTTTTGTCTGTCTGTCAGGTTCAAGCAATTCTTCTGCCTGAGCCTCCCAAGTAGGTGAGATTACAGGAAGTGTCCGCCACCACACCCTGCTAGTTTTGTATTTCTAGAAGAGACAGGGTTTCACCATGTTGGCCAGGCTGGTCTTGAACTCCTGACCTCAAGTGATATGAATGCCTAGGTCTCCCAAAGTGCTGGGATTGCAGGGGTGAGTCACTGTGCCCGGCCCTGAAGTCACTTCCTTCTGCACACATAAAGAGGATAAAACAGCCCGGCATGGTGGCTCATGCCTGTAATCCCAGCACTTTGGGAGGCCGAGGCGGGCGGACCACAAGGTCAAGAGATCGAGACCATCCTGGTCAACATGGTGAAACCCCGTCTCTACTAAAAATACAAAAAATTAGCTGGGCATGGTGGTGCATGCCTGTAGTCCCAGCTACTCAGGAGGCTGAGGCAGGAGAATTGCCTGAACCCAAGAGGCGGAGGTTGCAGTGAGCAGAGGTCGGGCCATTGCACACCAGTCTGGGTAACAAGAGCGAAACTCTGTCTCAAAAAAAAAAAAAAGAAAAATAGCCACGTATAGCTGTGGGCACCTGTGATCCCAGCTACTCGGGAGGTTGAGGCAGGAGAATCACTTGAATCCAAAAGGCAGATGTTGCAGTGAGCCCAGATTGCGCCACTGCACTCCAGCCTGAGAAACAAGAGCAAAACTCAAAAAAATATATATATAAAATATAATAATAAAACAAACGAATAAATTAGGAGATGGAGGGCAGGAAAACAGAGGGCAGGAAAACAGACAGACTAGAGAGAAAAGACTGGAAAAAGGGACCAGAGGTGCCTTGAGAGCCTCAGATCCTGCAATACGTGTTGACATAAAGCTTAATATTTACTAAAGGAACACAAAGAATATTAACTTTTCAAGAAGAATTTAGCCTTCAAGAGAAGGCTGGGACAAAGCAAAGGAAAAAAAGCTGTTTGGTAGACCACATGCTAATAAGGTGCACTCAGACAGACAGATGGCGGTGGAGCCTTGAAATGCAGAGGGCCAAGTACATAAAAAGTTCCTTTCTAACCCTCTGCTGCAAAAATCCATGTCACATGCTTCCTAACACACAAGGATTACTTGATGTTAGCCTGAAAACAGGACATTTATTTTTCCTCAAACATATAAAAAAGATCGACCAGGTACAGTGGCTCATGCCCTTAATTCCAGCCTCTGTAAGTAAGGCCAAGGCAGGAGGATCACTTGAGCCCAGTAGTTTGAGACCCGCCTGGGCAACATAGAGAGACCCCATCTCTACAAAATATTTAAAAATTAGCCAGGCATGGTGGCTCACCCCTGTGGTCCCAGCTACTCAGGCGGCTGAAGTGGGAGGATGACTTGAGCCCTCAGGTTGAGGCAGCAGTGAGGATCACACCATTGCATTCCAGCCTGGCTGACAGAGCCTGACCCTATCTGAAAACAAACAAACCAGCCAGGCTCGTGTAATCCTACCACTTTGGGAGGCTAAGGCGAGTGGATCACCAGGCCAGGAGTTCCAGACCAGCCTGACCCAGGATGGTGAAACCCTGTCTCTACTAAAAACTACAAAAATTAGCTAGGCGTGGTGGCATGTGCCTGTAATCCCAGCTACTAATGAGACTGAGGCAGGAGAATCACTTGAAGCTGGGAGGCGGAGGTTGCGGTGAGCTGAGATGGCGCCATTGCCCTCCAGCCTGGGTCACAGAGCGAGACTCTATCTCAAAAAAAAAGCAGGTCAATATGTGGAAAAGATGGTGCAGTATTATTATTATTATTTTTTTGAGAGAGAGAGAGTGTTTCACTATTGATGCCCAAGGCCGGAGGGCAATGGTGCAATCTTGGCTCACCGCAAGCTCTGCCTCCCGGGTTCAAGCGATTCTCCTGCCTCGGCCTCCTGAGTAGCTGGGATTATAGGCATGTGCCACCACGCCCAGCCAATTTTGTATTTTTAGTAGGGACAGGGTTTCTTCATGTTGGTCAGGCTGGTCTTGAACTCCCGACCTCAGGTGACCCACCCACCTCGGCCTCCCAAAGTGCTGGGATTACAGGCCTGAGCCACCACACCCAGCTGGGGCAGTACTTTTGAACATTTTTTAGAATTATTTAATTTTATTTATTTCTTTATTTGGAGACAGAGTGGTGGCATGCGCTTACAGTCCCAGCTACTTGGGAGGCTGAGGCAAGAGAATCGCTTGAACCCAGAAGGCAGAGGCTGCAGTGAGCAGAGATCCAGCCTGGCTGACAGAGCGAGACTCTGCCTCAAAAAAAAAAAAAAAAAGAAAGAGAAAGAGAAGGAAAGAAATGCAACTCAGGAAAGCCCCTTTCCCTTTTCTTAGGTCAAACTGTAAGCAAAGAATACAAAACCACATATTGAACAAGTAATGGCAGGTAGTAAGTACTAAAAAAAGAAACCATTGAAATATTCAAATACAGTTCAATTTACATTAAGAAGCCATTCAAAGATGACTGAAGGGATCCTTTCGTAGTTCATAAGCATGTTTGGGTGTTCACGGGCACGTGTAACATGTGCCTCTCTTAAACTTCGTTATGATGCTGACACATCATCCAGCTGACGGACGCAGTGGCTCACACCTGTAATCCTAGAACTCTCGGAGGCTAAGACGGGCAGATCACTTGAGGTCAGGAGTTCCAGACCAGCCTGGCCAACATGGAGAAACCCCATCTCTACTAAAAATACAAAATTAGCTGGGGGTGGTAGTGCACGCCTGTAATCCCAGCTATTTGGGAGGCTGAGGCAGGAGAATCACTTGAACCCGGGAGGTGGAGGTTGCAGTGAGCCGAGATCGCACCATTGTACTCCAGCCTAGGCAACAAAAGCTAAACTGTCCAAAAAAGAAAAAAAAAAAAAAAAAACAAACAAGTTCTGATGCTCAAAGTAAATAACATTAGTGGGTAATATCTTTGGTCAACCTCCTCCTGAGAGGGTCGTCCAGCTTACAGGTTAGTTTTAAGACTATGAGTAAGGCCAGGCGCAGTGGCTCAAGCCTGTAATCCCGGCACTTTGGGAGGCCGAGACGGGTGGATCACGAGGTCGAGAGATCAAGACCATCCTGGTCAACATGGTGAAACCCCGTCTCTACTAAAAATACAAAAAAAATTAGCTGGGCATGGTAGTGCGTGCCTGTAATCCCAGCTACTCACGAGGCTGAGGCAGGAGAATTGCCTGAACCCAGGAGGCGGAGGTTGCGGTGAACCGAGATCGCACCATTGCACTCCAGCCTGGGTAACAAGAGCGAAACTCCGTCTCGAAAAACAAAACAAAACAAAACAAAACAAAAAAAAGACTATGAGTAAACAGGATAGCCAGGTAAACTACTCACGTTCCTTTATATTTGCGCCCTAATCTCTCTGGCTCCTGCAAAGAGACTCTGGCCGCTTTCAGCCAAGAACTATAGAAAAATCCTTTAGGCCTTCTAAAAGAGTTTAAGACTATATTCTATAATTTCCTCTAATATCTTTCCTTTAATATTTTTGCCACCACCTTGAGTGAATTCTTATACCCCGTCTTACTAAAAAACAAAAACAAAAATTAGCTGGGTGTGGTGGCACGTGCCTGTAATCCCAGCTACTTGTGAGGCTGAGGCAGGAGAATTGCTTGAACTCAGGAGTTGGATGGTGCAGTGAGCCAAGAAGATCATGCCACTGCACTCCAGCCTGGGTGACAGAGACTCCTTCTCAAAAAAAAAAAAAAAAAAAAAAAAAAAAAAAATATATATATATATATATATATATATATATATATCGATATATATATATTGGCCAGGCACAGTGGATCATGCCTGTAATCCTAGCCCTTTGGGAAGCCAAAGTGGGCAAATCACGAGGTCAGGAGTTCAAGTCCAGCCTAACCAAGATGGTGAAACCCTGTCTCTACTAAAAATAAAAAAACTAGCCGGCACAGTGGCAGGTGCCTATAACTCCAGCTACTCAGGAAGCCGAGCCAGGAGAATCGCTTGAACCAGGGCAGCAGAGGTTGCAGGGAGCCGAGATCACGCCACTGCACTCCAGCCTGGGCAACAGAGTGAGACTCTGTCTCAAAAAATTAACTGGGCACGGTGCAAGCACCTGTGGTCCCAGCTACCTGGGAAGCTGAGGTGGGAGGGACCACCTGAGTCCAGGAGGTTGAGGCTACAGTGAGTCATGACTGCACCACTGCACTCTAGCCTGGGCAACGGAACTAGATCTTGACTACAATAATTAAAGTAAAAATTTAAAGTGAATAAATAAGTAACTGATGAGTCAGGCCAGGTGTTATGCCTCATGACTGCAACTCTGGGAGGCCAAAATGAATGGGAGAATCATTAGAGCCCAGAAGTTTAAGACCAAACAGAGCAACATAGCAAGACCCCGTGTCTCTACAAAGAAGAGTTTGATTTTAATTAGGTGGCCGGACATGGTGACTCACACCCAGTACTCCCAGCACTTTGCAAGGCCAAAGTAGAATTACTTGAGCCCAAATTCTGCTGTCTGTTTTTTTGTTTTTTGCTTTGAGACAGGGTCTCACTCTTACCCCGGCTGGAGCGCACTGGTATCATCTCCGCTGACTGAAGCCTCAGCTTCCTCAGCTTAAGCAATCCTCTCACCTCAGCCTCCTGAACAGCTGGTACCACAGGAGCACGCAACCACGCCTGGCTAATTTTTGTACTTTTTGTTAGAGACAGGGTTTTGCCATGTTGTCCAGGCTGGTCTCGAACTCCTGGGTTCAAGTGATCTGCCTCCCAAAGTGCTAGCGTTAGAGGCGTGAGCCACCGCACTCAGCCAACAAATTCTTCTTTCAAAAAAACTGAAGGCTGGATACAGTGGCTCACACCTGTAATCCCAGCACTTTGGGAGGCTGACGCGAGCAGATCACAAGGTCAGAAGATTAAGACCATCCTGGCTAACACAGTGAAACCCTGTCTCTACCAAAAATACAAAAATTAGTCGGTGTGGTGGTGGGTGCCTGTAGTCCCAGCTACTTGGGAGGCTGAGGCAGGAGAATCGCTTGAATGTGGGAGGGGGAGGTTGCAGTGAGCTGAGATCATCCCACTGCACTCCAGACTGGGAGACAGAGCAAGACTCCATCTAAAAAAAAAAAAAAAAAAAAAAGGCAAAAACCACAACAACAAAAAAACACCTGCAATGGCTGGGCATGGTGGTTCTTGCCTGCAATCCCAGCCAACATGGGAAGATCTCGAGTCCAAAAGGTCAAGACCAGCCTGGGCAACACAGTGAGACTCTGTCTCTACAAACAATAACCAAAAAAGCCCCCCACATATTCCTAAATAGAAAGATTTGATGTCATTTTTGTGGGAAGAAATGGTCAGGGGCAGACCTGTGTTACTTACAGTTAAATGATTACAAGTTTGCTTTGCTTTTTATACACAGAGATTTGTGCCACAGATCATATCCAAACAATGGTGCAGTAAAATAAAAGCAGAGATCCAGCGGTAACAGGAGGCCTATGGTGAAGACCGTCTGAGAGCGACCCGTAACCGCGGAACACTCGGCGTGGTTGCAGAGCAGAAGAATCTGCTTTGGTCCCACAGCTCCTCCCAACATAGAGTTTGTGCGAGGATCTCCTAAAGGGAGCTTATGCAAAACACTCTGGGAAGCAATGCAACCTCTGCTCTCAAGACTTGGGAAGGTCTTTGCAGATAGGAGCTGGTAAGACTGGAAGGCCTTACAGGGCAAAGATCACGGGAACACCACAGACTTGGCCTATGATGCTCGGGAGATAAAAGTCCCTTGATGCACTGTGTGTGGTCGGACCTTATGGCCGACCTCTCTTGCCAAAACACCTGGATAGACAATGAGTGGTAAAACCTCAGTGTCTTTAGCTTCAATAGCAAACATGGTTATCCTAAGAAACCTATTGAATGCTGGAGACACATGCTCTTCCTCAGGCTATCTTCCTCCTCAACCCCCCTCCCCACAGCCTGCAAGATTAACAAGATAATGCACCCAATAAAACTCATGAAGCCCAGAGCTGGGTTGGTGAGAGTGCTGGACCCTGGACCCATGCTGTAAAATTCTATTCTTGTGTCTCTGTTTTTATTTCTTTTCTCACTCCCTCATTACTGCCGAGACATGGGGCACCCATATACAGGTTTGGGCTTGTTCCCAACAACTAGCGCTCAATGTGGATTCCCTGTGCTCCTGGTGAAGAAACGCCTGAGTGTGGTCATTTGCAGGAAGCAGTTCATCCAGGGACTCCCGGGAACGTGTTCTGGTCAGCCTAGCGGGAAGCTAGTGTGCCTGGAATATTCCAGGGTAACAAAATGGGAAAATCACACAGCAAGCATAGTAATTACCTCTGTCTTATTCAGGAACTTTTAAAGAAAGGCGGTGTAAAGATTGGGATGGAAAATCTCATTACTCTCCTTGAGGCAGTGGATCACTACTGTCCGTGGTTCCCGGATATTGGAACTCTAGATGTTGGTGTACGGGAAAGAGTTGGGTCAGAACTCAAATATGCACGGGATGAAGGAAAGTTTATACCACAGACCGTGTGGAATGATCGGGCCATGGTGAGAACCGTATTAGAACCTTTTGAAAATACTACTCACCGGGCGCGGTGGCTCAAGCCTGTAATCCCAGCACTTTGGGAGGCCCAGGCCGGTAGATCACGAGGTCAAGAGGTCGAGACCATCCTGATCAACATGGTGAAACCCCGTCTCTACTAAAAATACAAAATTAGCTGGGCATGGTGGTGTGCACCTGTAATCACGGCTACTCAGGAGGCTGAGGCAGGAGAATTGCCTGAACCCAGGAGGCAGAGGTTGCGGCGAGTCGAGATCGCGCCATTGCACTCCAGCCTGGGTAACAAGAGCAAAACTCCATCTCAAAAAAAAAAAAAAGAGAAAATACTGCTCTCATCAGCACTCTCAGTAAAGAATCAGGGGGCCGAATGAACTCCTGAGAATAGTGTAAATACCAGTTTAGAAGATGATAGTGGGCGGGCGCGGTGGCTCACGCCTGTAATCCCAACACTTTGGGAGGCCGAGGTGGGTGGATCACGAGGTCAAGAGATCAAGACCATCCTGGTCAACAAGGTGAAACCCCGTCTCTACTAAAAATACAAAAAAATTAGCTGGGCATGGTGGTGCGCGCCTGTAGTCCCAGCTACTCAGGAAACCGAGGCAGGAGGATTGCTCGAACCCAGAAGGCGGAGGTTGCGGTGAGCCGAGATCGCGCCATTGCACTCCAGCCTGGGTAACAAGAGCAAAACTCCATCTCAAAAAAAAAAAAAGATGATAGTGAAGAAGAGTTTGATAGAAAATCTTTCAGGTCAGAAAAAAGAGAAACAGAAAGATTGATTTCAGGAGGGCATCATGAAAAGGAGATAATCTATGCAAATGTGTCTAAAATGCCTCACAGTTTGGAGGAACCTCCTTCAGCATTCACTCAGAAACGGGCTGAGCCAACAGCACCAAAATAAGATAGTCATGAATGGCCACCTCCTCCACAGTCCTGGCAAGGTACAAATCCATTCATTAAGTTGCAAACTCAGGAAGTTCAACCTCCGCCGCCAGGACAATTAACAGGCTAATGAGTAGAAGTCCAGCACCTGGC